ACAGGGGTGGGCCTGCTCCCTGCCTCTGGGGACAATGGACAGGCTCCTGTAGGCAGAGTTTTCACCCTACTGATAATGGTTCCTATGGAGATCCAGAGACCACCCCCTAGACCACCCCCTCATTGCTGTGTAACCTATAGTGCAGCCCCTCCCTGTACCTGTAATTAGCCTCTACCTGTAATTAGTGGGCTGGCATGCCCCCAAAAGGTACATAGGCATGGGTCAGCAATATAGAACTCTCTGACTCTCTTCCCCTCTTTGCTGCTCACTCCCTGGTCACTCCCCTCTCCCTTGTTCCCTTGCCCTCCTTCCCTTTCCCCTCTCTCCACGTGGACCACCAAGCTGGGCTTAGGTGAGCAATGCTACCATGTAATGTGTCTACCTGTATTATTGTAATATCTCTCATGCTCTCGATGACTTTAATATAATAATATATCTCAACCGTACAATTGTGCATTAATAAACCCAGAAGTAGTATTACTGAACCCACGATTAGCAGTGGGGGCTGGCCCCCCACCCCTCCTTACCAATTTAATTTAATACTACACACTCCGTTTCATATTCTGGCTCCTGGTTGGTTCTCTGTTGCTGCTCCTCTAGTATCAAAGCTGTCTTCTGGATCACGGAAGTTCAGTGTTCAGGGATCTTGGGGTACAAAGCACCCCACTCCACTCCTGGCTTCCCCTTCCCACTTCTGAGATGGCTCATTCTATACCCAGCAGGATGGCGATCATATTTAACCTTAATAATCACTTTGCACTGAATCAGACAATTCCGTCAGTATCTTCCCCCTTCTTACCCAGATCTATGAAGAAAAAGGTCATTTGGGGAAAATCCAGGGCAGATGAGTCCTACAGGACCAGTGGTGTGAGTGGCGAAACAGGGAGGGTAAAGGGAGAGTGGGTAGGAAAGAGGGAACCGATTACATGGAACTGTGTGTGACCTCCTCCCTGGGGGATGGGCAACAGAAAAGTGGGTGAAGGGAGCCATCAGACAGGGCGATATGACAAAATAACAATTTATAAACTATCAAGGGCTCATGAGGGAGGGGGAAGCTGGGAGGGAGGGGAAAAATGAGGACCTAATGCCAGGGGTTTAAGTGGAGAGAAAATGTTTTGAGAATGATGAGGGCAATGAATGTACAAATGTGCTTTACACAATTGATGTGTGTATGGATTGTGATAAGAGTTGTATGAGCCCCTAATAAAATGATTTTTAAAATTATACAAAAAAAATTTCTTTAAATATTACAAAGTTCGCCATATTAAATTGAAATACATCTTCAAGTAATTTAAAAAGAAAAAAGAAAAAGGTCATTTGGTAGGAGTAACAAATGCTCTGGCTAAAAGAGCCATATGAAATAATTCACTACACAACCATCCTGAGACCAGAAGAACTAGATCGTGCCCCGCTGCTACTACCAAGTGCTCTGCAAAGGACCACATTAGAAGGTCCTGCGTAGAATGGAAGAAAAATGTGGTCAGAACTCATAAAAATCATAAGAGACCAGAATTACTGGCTGTATAGAGACTGGTGGAACTCCCCCGGCCCTTACCCTTTAGGTCTGGAACTGAACTCAGCTCTGCGTCAGGATAATCAACCATTTAAACTGAAAAAGGCAGCATTTGTCCAAAGACAAAATTCAGTGGGTTAGAAAAGAAGGAGGAATGGAGACGGGAAATCTGGGAAGGAAGTGGGATAAGTGCCGGTATCTTGAGAGCATTGCAATGGATAAGTTGAGTCATGAAGTGTATGAATTGTTGAATGTTAAACTCGGATCTATGCTGTAAACCTTCACGAATTTATGATAAAACGTTTTCCCCAAAAATGGAGTATGGCAAGACTCCAGCTCATGTATTTTGGACATGTTATCAGAAGACCAGTCTCCAGAGAAGGATGGACATCTTGCTTGGTGAAGTAGAGGAGCAGCAAAAAAGACCCTCAGTGATAAGGATTGACACAGTGGCTGCAGCATTGCACTCCAAGATAACGTGCAGGACCAGGCAGTATTTTATCACGTTGTACAGAGGGTGGATGGAAGATTGGGAAATAATTAGAGACACTAAGTCACTAGCAGTTATCCCTGGGTAGTGGCATTATGAGCATGTTTTGTTTTTTTTTAATCTCCATCAACCCCCCCCCCACATTCTTTTGAAAATACATTGACAGAGTAGAAAAAGAAAAGAGTATAAAGAAAAGCAGTTTTAAAATATTACAAATGAACTTGTGAAGGTCAGGATTTTTTTTTAAGTCTTGGGAGAGTTCCCTGAAGGGACTCTGACATGACAGCATGTCCTTTTTCTGAGCCCTCTGGAATGATCTTTGCACCTGACCTCTGTTCTCTGGGGGGAACGTGAGCTGGTGACTGCTGAGTCATCAAACAGGACCACAGCCCTCCTTGGTACTTTGGTCGCTTGCTGGAGAGAAACACTGGGCTGGAGGTCCCGAAAGCCTTACTTAGGGGGTGGTCAAAGGCTCTGGATGCATCAAGCTCTGGACTCAGTCTGCCATGAATACACAGACAATTTTGCTTATGAAATAGGATACAAATGCAATAAAGGATAAAACCGTGAAAATGCTCTCATAGGGTCAAAACATGCCTTTTAAAAAAACTTTTCAGTTTGGAATAGTTTCAGACTCTCAGACCAAACAGTTGCAAAAATAAAACAAATGAAGGAAAAAAATGTTTGACACTGATGTGGTGGCAATTGTATGATATTGCTTGGTGTGATTGAACTATAAAGCAATATGATATCTGTATTGGCTCCCAATAAAAATGATTTGGGAAAAAAAATAAAACATGTTTCATCTCACATAAGCACAGCGCATCTATTAAAACCAGAAAATCAGCATGGATACATTGTATGTTTTTGTTGTCCCACTGATGTCCTTGTACTGTTTCGGCACCCCACATTGCATTTAGCTTGGCTGGTTTTTATCTGAAATAGTCCCTCAGCCTTTCCTTGTGTTTTATGACCTTGACATTTTTGAAGAGTTAGTCTATAGGCCAGTGCTGTCCAACAGAGCTTGTTTTAGACTGTCCAATAGAATTTGCTGAGATGATGCAAACGCTCTGTATCTGGGCTGGGCAATAGAACAGTCACTGGCTACCTGGAAATAGCATTTGAGATGTGGCTGTGGGGCTAAGGAACTGAATTTCAAACCGTACTTTATTTTCATTACAATAGCTAAATGTAACTAGGGGTTACTACACGGTGAGCCGCCAAGGGGCAGCACAGCTGTAGAATGGCCCTCATTTGAGGTCCAAATATTTCCTCCCGATTAGTTCCAGGTTATGAATCACCTCGCAAAAATACCCTCTCGTCTCCTTTACCTTAAAAAAAAAAGCTACAGATAGACGATACAAGACCACCGCCCCAAGCCCGATTTTGCCCCTTCACACTGAATCAGCTTGCTGTCTGGCTGGGCGGGGGCGTCCTTGTGAACGCTGCGTGTCCACCTGTGTGCCAGGCCCTGCGGACCCAGGAGCGAACTTCATGACGGCTGGCCCTAAGAGCATAAACGGGGTGTGGTGGGGGGCGGGGGAGGCTCCCCGAGAGCGTGTGGGCAGGGAAAGAGGCTGGTCTCTGGCCTGAGGTCGCGTCGCACTTCGGACTTTCTCGAAACGGACAAGGGGAGAATCAATACCGGCGCCCCAGCCAGGAACCGGGAGAGCCCGGTGGCCGACTCGTCCGGCC